AGTCACTATGCAAGATCGTCTGGGAAAACTTCTGGAGCACAAAGCAAAGCGAGGGCCTCGCTCCAGGGGCTGGGAAGTACAGTGGGAGCACCCACCAGCTGCATCTCCCAGGAAGGAGGCAAGGAGCAGCAGGAGGAGGACAGATCTCCAGCTGGGCTTGGGGAGGCCAAAGTGCAAAGCCCATCTTGGGCTGCAAAGTCTCTGAGGGTAACCATGGAAAAAAACACCTATGTGCTCTAACCAGAAAGACCTGTCCAAAAGCTGGACCACAGAAACTAAGCATAGTGCTAAAGGGTGGGAAGGACAGAGAGCAGCAGGAAAGAAGCCCTGCCCCTGGCTGCAGGCTGCCCACTCCTCTTGGGTGCTGTGCCAGCCCTCGGGCCTGTCTGCTCAAAGGGGCCTTGTGCTGGTGTGGCATCTTTTGTCTGGTGCAGATCAGAGCTAAAAGGTGCCTATGGGACTAGGGAAGAGCTCCAGCTGCCTTTCTGTCCCCCATCGGCATGCTTTTCAGCTGTACTAATCATAGAATGGCTTGGGTTGGAGGGGTCCCCAAGTAACATAAAATTCCAACCTCTTTGCCACTGGCAGGTTTCTAACTGCTAGATCAAGTACTTGATCAGATTGCCCAGGGCCCCATCCAACCTGGCCTCAAACATGTCCAGGGATGAGGCATCCACAGCCTCTCTGGGCAACCTGCTCCAGCACCCTAGTATTCTTTCAGTAAAGCTTCCTGCTGACATCTAGCCTAAATCTCTCTTCTTTAGTTTAAAACCATTCCCCTTTGTCCTATCACTATCTACCCTTGTAAAAAGTTGATTTCCCTCATGTTTATTAACATCCTTTAAATACTGGAAGGCCACAGTGAGGTCCCACAGAATCACGGAATTCAGGGATTGGAACGGACCTCAACAGATCACCCAGTCCAATCCCCCTCTGGAACAGGAACACCTACATCAGGTCACACAGAAACACGTCCAGGCAGGTTTTGAATGTCTCCAGAGAAAGAAACCCCACAACCTCTCCCTGTAGCCTTCTCTTTTCCAGGCTGATCAAGCCCAGTTCCTTCATCCTATCTTCACAGGTGAGATGTTCCAGCTCTTGAATTATCTTTGTGGCCCTGCTCTGGACCCTCTCCAAAAGTTTCACATATTTCCTGCGTGGGGGGATGTAACACTTGGATGCAGTACTCCAGCTGGGGCTTCGCGAGAGGCAGAGTAGAGAGGGACAATCACCTCCCTCACCCTGCTGGCCATCCCTCTTCTGATGGAGACCAGGATACCATTAGCCTTCTGGCCGTGATACACCCAGGATATTCATCAAACTATGAAGCATAAGCATCCCCACTCCATTGTGATGCCCCCAGATGCAGACACCCCTCACTGAGCCCTACACATATCCTGTGGCATCAATTCCCATGACCCAGCAGTCCTGTTGGAGCAATGACATCAAGCAGCTCCATCCCACATCCCAGGGGACGGGTAAGTCTCAAGTGTTGTAGGCAGCTGTGGGAGCTTGTGAGTTTGCAAATCCTTTTCTTTATGTGGGAACAACTACCTCTGCTGAAGGTGTTTCAGGCACAGAACGAATCAGTTCTGTCAGGTAAGCGAATGTTGCATGTCCAGTTATGCTGGCTGTGAGTAGTTTTTTAAACAATGGGAAATTATAGCCAGCATGACCTTTGGTAATCAAAAGCTGGAGGTAAAGCAGAAATTTCTAGCAGTGTCTTTTACAGCAAATCTAGAACAAGCCACAGCTGCACCCGATCACTAGTGCCAAGTCTTCTGAAACAAATAAAATATTCTGCATTAGTTCCAAGTACAGAATGAAGGGTTAATGATGATTCTTCCACTGATTACAATGCTTAGAAATTCAGATGAACCTCAGGTGTGTCAGTGGTATTACTATTTGGAATTGCCACTGAAACCACGAGCCACAAGTTTGATTCTTCCATTTATGGCACAATAGATGATTGTTTTCTTTTTTGCATAATTGAAGACTATTTGGGAGTTGGGCTCTTTTTTTTCATAAGCCCTGCTATCAGTACAAGCAGGGGGATCCAAGTATGGAGCACAGCCCTGCTGAAAAGGAACCAGGAGTACTGGTGGATGGCCATGAGCCACCAATGTGCTCTCACAGCCCAGAAAGCCAACCATAGCCTGGGCTGTATCAAAAGAAGCATGGCCAGCAGGTTGAGGGAGGTGATTCTGCCCACTGCTCTGCGTTGGTGAGACTCATCTGGAGTACTGCATCCAGATATGGAGCTCTCGGTACAGGAGAGGTGTGGACCTGTAGGAGAACATCAAGAGGAGGGCCACAAAAATGATCCAAGGAATGGAACTTCTCCTCTCCTCTACATCTCTTCTGGGGCTCTTCAGCCTCAGAAGAGAAGGCTCTGGGGAGACCTGATGGTATTTCTTTTAATGTGAGAATGCTGAACTCCTCTGCTGCCAGACTTCCATTCTAGGAGTTTGGCAGCAGAAAATGCCCTGAGAAGATACCCAGTGGAACAGAGACATTAACTCAGAAAATAAAAGGTACCTAATCATGAACATTTGACAAAAAGGAAGCGTATCAAAAATCAAGTTGTTCTTACAAACAGATAAATTCTGACCTGAAATGCTCCATTTGCAGGGTTAGATATTTATCAGAGATCTTTACAATTGTTTCACTGGCTGTTGAAATTCTTCTTTCCAGACTTACAAGCTAAAGTAAAACTTCCTAATGGTGCTGAGGTTCACAATAACTTTATTAGGGACTTCGCTGTGGTTTCAGCACTGACTTCAGGAGGCAGCAGGTTTGATTTCTGAGCTGACAGCCCTTAGAGCAACTTGAGGTGCACCTCTTGAGTGCTGGAATGACAAGGCAGGTTGCATCACCTCAAATTAGTTTCATAAGGAGAAGTGCCTGCACTCCCTGCAGAAGGCATACAGGAATGTGCACCACATGAACTACTTCCAATACTTCTAACTTTGGTTAGTAACAATTTCCTGGCCTGGAGAAAAAACGACAGCTGAGGTCAGAATGGCCATGTTGGCATGCTCAGGGAGATTGATCTAGAGCTACTCAGAAAAAATTGAAAATCATTTCCCACAGCTAAAATTTGCTGCTCTGATTTGTCAGTCTGGCCCCCAGCTAAACCGTTTCATGGGAATTGACTGCTAGTACATCTAACTGATGTCTTCAAAAGGCTCTGAGTGAGTGACCCTGGGTTATTACAGTCTGGCAACTTGTTTCTGAAAGTCCTCCCCCAAGGGAGATCAGAATATATTCAACCTGTCCACATTTCTTACGTATAAAAGCTGAACACAAATTTAGCTGATACGTAGTAGGAGTATCTAGTGGATCTACAGTGTTTTATGCTCTCCCAACTCTAATGCAGGAAAGCCAAGCCTTGATTTGCTACAATATTTTACTTCAGGAGGCATGTCTGTGCCTTGGAGGAGGGGAAAGCATTGTTGGACCTAAGGGCTCTTTCTCAAAAAGAGGTGAGAGAATCTCTGTTTTACTCAGAATTGAAGCTTGTTTCTGTAGAGGATGAACTGAGAGAGAAATCAGTAGTGCTAGGAGCTGATTTGCTGTTTGTCTGTGTGTCATTTGGAAAAGGAAATAGGAGAAAGGAAGCCAAATTTAAAACAGCACAATCGATTTTTCGTTACTTAAAGTGCATGCTCTCTTAAAAACTGCAGGGCTTCTCAGAGGTAATGGCTTCTATAACATCACACTCCCTAGACTGTAAAGATGAAAAGCAACAGGCTATATCTCCCCCACATTTAAGTAGCTAGCTGAAAGTGAGAACTTTCCCAAACCACACAGTTCAGAGCCTGTGCTTTCCTTAATCCAAGGGTATCTCTAGTGATGCTAAAAGACAAGAAGAATGACAGAATAAACAGGGAGATACTTGTGCTGTTATTTAAAGGAACGCTGTGACAGAAAACCCCAGTACTGCAGGGGTTAAAAAAAAAAAGTCAGATCCGTTACTTGCCTGGCTGGGAGCTATCTTATGAAATAAGAGCTGCAAACCACACGTTCTGCTGAGATCAGGAACCACAGCTGAAGATACAGTGCTCTTTTCTCCAGCACATCAGCAGAGCAGCTAACCATTAGTAGCAGAGTGCTAAGCACACCGCAATACTGTCGTTGCTGTAAGGTCCTCCACAGCAATAAGCATTTCAGAGTAAGCTAAATGCAGATTCTATATATTATTACTACAGACATCATTAAATTAGGTGCTGAGCAATGAAATCTAAAGACCATTATTTGGACATCGCAGATCAGCAGGTTGTTTTTAAGAAGGAAAATTGTTTTAAAAAAAAAAAAAGTTCTTAAGCTTGCAGTCCCTGGCTGACAAACACAGCAGCTGTATCAGAGCAACTGATCAACAATGCACCTTGTGGTATCTTTGGATAAAGGAGCGCTCACATGCTGAGCACTAGAAGCAAATGCAAATCGATGCCAACTCACCTGACCTGTGTATATTCTACAAATTGGAAGTCAATAAATTCCCTTTAGCTGTGATTAGCTTCAGCTCTATCGCTGAAATACACGACACTCACAGCACTGCAAGTCATTTTATATTTTCCATAATACTTCATGAGCCTCCAGAGTGGTTTCTGCCCATTTCCAATTGGTAAACAGTGACATTTCCCCTGCTTTACAACTGCCGTTAAAAATAGCCTCGTTCATTTCATAACTTCCAGAACTTCAGCACAAAAGTGTTCTATGCAGCAGAGCAAGCACTGAGAACAAACTGGCTTATGAATAACTGCAAAGCACCACTAGAAAAATCTAAGTAAATCAGTCATAAAAGCACAATCTGCACCTCTGTGCTTTGAACAGATTACAAAGGAACACAAGCTGGACCCAATACATCCTCTTCAAAAACACTTTTCCACAAAGGCAATTACAAACACTATTCTTTTTGCTCATAATTTATTGAATGTAATGAAAATGAAACAAAACAAACATTCAAAAAAAAAAGGATCTGTTCCTCAGAGCTCATCTGAGAGAATCATTTATGGTGAACGGGAAGGAGATCCTCCAAGCACAAAGGCCAACAGAGACCAAAGTGCCACAATACCAGAGACTCTAAAGGGGAAGAATGATAAAATACTGTTAATTTTGCTCTTGTTCAAAACTGACTCTTTTCCAGACTGTGTCAGGCCATAAATGCACCACTGACAAGCACTGCTGTCACTGCCTCTCCAGAGAGACATACTTTGAATCTAGAATTCTCTCCTATTACTGAGTTTTCAACTCTTCTGTAGAAAGAAACACAGCCATCCCACACCTGGAGACTCTGCCTCCTCCTCCCAGGCCTGGAGCTGGCACTGCAGCTTATCAAGGTCATCCTGTCTGTTACCATGGCACATAGTTTTGTGCTATCCGTGGGGAAATGTTCCTTAGTTAATGAAGATCAAGATCACTCCTGCTGCCCAGGAGTGAAAGCTCACAAGCACCAACCCACAGTCAGCACAGGAGCCTGCTTCTGGATCCCCTGTTCTCTGGGACATGGCCAGAGAACAGCACACTGCTCCTGTGACAGGGCCGAGGCACTGAAAGAAATGCCTTTCTTCCCTCCTCCCCATTCATGTGATTTCCGTAACTCACTTTAACAGGCAGTTCACATGAGGAGAGTGCCTCCAGTGGCGATAGACAGAGATCTGCAGCTTAGGGTGATTTTTGTAATCACGCAGAACACGAATGACACTGTAAGGAGAAGAGATGTCATTAACCATGACTCCCAGGCTGCTTATGAAATCTCACACATCAGAGCAGGAATCTCTCTGTCTAAATAGAGTGATACAGGAGAGAGTGGGAGAGAGCTTGGATGAGAGGATTAAGGTAACAGAAAGTTAGGATTTTCTGGTTACTTACTGCTTAAATCTATTGGAGAGCAAAATGAATTGATTCTCTGAAAGCCGTCTAATATCAAAGCGACAAAGAGGCTGCAACTCCTGGTAGATCTGCCTTTCATCCAGCCGTGGCCAACCTCGAACACGGACAACCAAGGGAGGGGGGTATCGGCAGGAAGCATCTTCCCCAGAAAAGTTCTGGAAAATGTGCAATACTGAGACATATCTGCACCCAGCAACACTGCAGAAATACCACTAACAGAAAACATGCAAAATGCAACACAAAAAAAAGACAGTCCTCTGTACAATACAGCTGATGGTGTGAAGTTATGTTTCTTCTGCCCAAGGATTTTTTCTAAATGTGAGTCATAAAAGCAACCTCACAATTATCGTGTAGAAAAATAAAACAGAGAAACAGCAAGCTCTCTGCCAGGGCACAGCAAGTCAGCGCAGCATTAAGGGACTAATGCCATCTTACAGGATAACAACAGTAACAAACTCCATAAGGCAGAACTTGAACTCAGTGACGTTTTGAAAGGTCATTTGTATCACCCGCACGGAGACAGCTTCTGCCAAGGTGGGCCAAGGTGAATTGTTCTCTAATGAATGCATCAGCTGAGCTACAGACCTACATATCCCACCACCTGGTTACAGACCTGCAATTCATACGCACAATGCTTGAGACGCCACCTCGGATGACATTCACCTTGTTCAAATACTCTGCTAACATGGTGAGATACTGAGAGAAAGAAGAATTGGCCTTCGCTGCATCGCTATGTCAGAAAACAAAACGGAAGAACGTTTTGTGAGAAAATGGGTTTTTTGGAACCTTAGCATCATCTACAGAAGCCAAAAAGCTGCAAGCAGAGGGAAAGGATTTTTGAACAGTGGCTTAACTGAAGTCACCGAATCACGGAGATTTCAGAAGTGGAAACTAATGGAAAATGAACTGACCCTTAACCAAGTGAACTGACCCTGAGAAAGCTGATCCAAGGATAAAGGATTCACTGTGCCATTTCCCAACCTCTGAGCAATTTCATGGCCCCCAATTTCATTTTTCTAAATGTCAGCTTTGACATAAAGCTACTACTTTCAGATTTATAAGATAACAATCTAATTAGAACAGTGACATTTTCAATAACGCTCTTTTACCCAAAAGGAAGGCCTGACTACAAAACATCAGCCAGAACCAACTCATGACTTGTATTCCGTAAAATCCATCTACGTAACAATTCTTAATAAACCCTTAAGCTCCACTCACTCTGTCAAGCTGCACAACAGCAAATGAGCTGACTTCAGAAGAACTAGAAAGAGGAACAACGGGGTGCCATTAGAACAAAAACTGTAGAAACACAACTAATGGAAATTACTTTAAGCACAAAACTCACCGAAGTGCTAAGTTACTAACAGCAACATTATATAAACAAATGCTTCTTATCACTAAATAAACAACAGAGCCACAGAGCAGGGAAGGCATTGTCACATTCGAACAAAAAGTGATGAAGAAGCATTTTACCTGAACCACAGAGAAATGCATCATACGCTGCCTCATGAGGAGCCGCCTTCTCAGCTGAAGCGTCCAACAAAATCAAAAAGAAACAAACACCTCTAGCACACTGTGGAAAATGCTTGGCCACAGAACCTTAATGTCTGAAGATCCATTCTGCTGTTCATTCCTCCACTGCTCAGCTGTTCCCTCCCTCCCCTTAAAGCCCTTACAACCTATGGCACATCTATGATTCTACCGGGCATTTTAAAATGACCCCAACAAAAAGGCAGCACTTATACTAATGTCTGAAGAGTTTAGTGAGATGCACATAAGAACAAAATTAACTTTCATGAAGACCTGAACCAAATTGTGTTCAACGCTACCGATGGCATGGGAACTGTGTACCAGCAGCTCGATGTAAAGTCAGCAGTCCTACTCACACTCACTGATGCTGTGCCTGTGGACATCCACAGAGTAAAACAAAACTCCCAACTTGGAAGGTGTGCTTAAAGACTGTACCGTATCGCACAGAGTCACTTGCAAGAGCAATCACTGGACACGATGGATCCATGGGATTTAAGTCGCTGCTGAAGACAAATGGACATGTAAGATTTTTGTCCTTCCTCGGTATGTTAGAGACAAAGTTACATGCCTGTTCTCTAGTAACCTGTGGCTTCATTTTAGAAAAAGCTACTGAACATGTTAGAAGCAACTTTTAAACTACTGCATGAGAAGGGTGAGGTACTTTGCTGAACGCAATCTTCCAGTCTTTCTGAAAACTTAACTCCTAAATACTACTTCAGTCTCTTCTTCCATTCAAACCTGCAAAGGAGCATATTTGTTCTAACTGCACGCAAAAATGTGAATTAAACTGAAAATCAACGGGCCAGATTAAATTGAAACCCATGGAATGGCTGAAACAAAAGAACAAAAAAAGCACAGGACCTCTGAGAACCTACAGTCTGAAACAGCTAAAAACAATAACAACACCCACCACAGAATAATGCTGTTTTCATAAGCTCTAATTTTGTATCTGATTTTTGGGAGTGAGGGTGAGGGGAAATTTTGATTTTCCTACCAAGTATTTACAACACACACAAGCAATTTATTCACAGAACAAGTGTAGAAAAGGCTAAGTGTTCTAACACACCATGGCTAAGCTGATGAAATACAGGATCTACTGATGCTCCATTAGATTACTGTACTTAGTTCCTGCTTTCAGCTAAGAGAAGCTTTTTCCTGAGAGCGGGTATTTCAAATCAGTGTTTTCACTGAGAATTTAAATTCACTCATTTCATCACATGCCACAAGCTGTGCAGCTGTGTATAAGGCTACTTGCAAGCAAACCTCGAGACCAATTAAATAAAGGTGGAAAGCTATTACAAAGCTATGAAGTCCTGTTGGTATTTTGGAATACAGGCATCTCTATAACCACATAACTAGAAGCACAGAATAGTTCAAGTTAGCAGGAGCCCACAAGGAACATCTAGTCCAGCCCCTGGCTCCACATAGAACCATACAGAATTCAAACCCTCTGTCTGAGAGCTGTGTCCAACCGCATCTTGAGCTCCAGCACTTGAGGCTATGCCCCCTGCCATGGACAGCCTGAACCATGCCCACCGCCCTGATACTCTGCAGTTACACAGTAGAAACTACAATACATCTCAACATCTCATGGACTGTAGTCCCATTGTGCTAGATGAAAATTGACTTAAAAAAAAAATAAAATTTCACAATTACTTTATAACAAATACAAGCAAAGCTTTTGCTCTTAAATTTAGGAAGGCAAGAAACAAGCTTGAAAACTTTTGGGAGGAGGAAAACTGTGAACAAACAAAATATTTTTCCCATAAAAACAAGATGGACTACAGAAGTTTTATAGCCCACCACTGACCTGCACAAAACCTCATACACCTCCAGAAGATTAGATACTCGAGGAAACTGATAGTTCTGTAAAACAAATCTAGGTTAGAAAACCACGTGAGTTCATTCACTGATCCTGCTGCCTCATTAAATGGAATCTGAAATCAGACCGTTTCAAGGCAACACTTAGAACTGATCACAGCTCTGTGACTATCACACGTTCTTTACTGGATGAAAGAGATGTACGTCCGCATAGAAAGATCTTTCCATCTCACCTTCCAGATGGATTTTGTTACAGTCTTGGTGTCTATGAGGACAGGAAACAGGTGGTGAATATTCTTTTTAAATTCCTCATAGCTTTCTGAAAGCAAAGCACACAAAGACATTACAAAAATGAGGAGAAGCCAATGATATTTCAAACAATTAAGAAAAAGAAGTGTACTCAGAGGAATGATGCCCTGTTCCAGCAGGGCACAGAAGAGATAGGTGATCAGCACTGTTGCTTGCTCAGCTTTGTGGGTGGCTGGGGTGGTGAAGGACCACCAGCTCTCACCCTCTTGCCCCTGCTGCAAGGACAGCTGCTGGGGGCATAGATCCTGGGGACAGCAGATATGCACAGCATTACCTGGCAGGGGGTTGTAGAACTTGTCATGGAGATGACAGAGGTCCATCAGCATGTTGTGTCCCACCAGAGGCTATTGGAAGAACAAACATAACAACAGCCTGTTGAAGCACAGTTTTGCAGAAGGACTCAGACGTAACCAACCTCAGGCCTGCTCAACAGCTGTAATCCTTTCCTCCCAAAAGTAATTCAGGTTGCATGAGTTATATCAAGATTAGTATTTTTAGGAAATCAGACTTATGGGCTCTCTGAAGAGGGTATTTTTCAGTAGAACTCTATTTTGAGTAGATTGAAGGAACTATGGGACAGATTCCCGTTCAGCTGAGCAGTGATAGTATCTTCCAGTGATCAGATTTACAGTCCTACTCAGAAGGGGAAGGACATCACCTCCTTACCCCCCATAAAGCCCTCTGAAGCTGAAATTCATTCACTAGTATGGATACAGAACACAAGAATTGTCATCTATAATCACAACAAAGGTGTGCATGATCCAAGAAACAGGTCTGCCACATGCTAGAAATCTTAACTTGTTCAAAACAAAAATCTGCTCAGCTTTCTTAGATGGTGATTCATGCTGTAACAAGGATTCAGCATTGCAGACTCTTGTGTTTACTCAAGTAGACAACTGACAACTGAACAGGATGATCACACTGAACGAGCTGAGTCATTTAACACAAGCTACTTTATCTCTTATCACGCTTTTACATCCAGAACGGCAAGTTAAATAAAAGATTAAAAAATAAATAAATGAGAATAGTGATGGGTCATTTTACCTTTTTAGCTTTAACAATTATCTGGAAAAGGTTGGTAAAGCCCCGGGCAGATGTGAGAATGAGCTCCTTCTGGCAGGAGTCATGAGAAGAGCTTTCCAGAAGGCAACGATGCTGCGGACTCACTTTTTTCACCATTACCTGAAAAAAAAAAAACAGTGGGTATCAGCCTTCCACATTACCTGTGTGTACTGAATGCTGAGGATTCAAGATCCACTTCTAGTATGAAAAATGAAGAAAAAAAGATGAGAGAATGTGCATCTCTGAGACCTCAGAACAGCCAGGCTCACTTTCCTTCCCTTTTGAGGTCAGTGCTCCACTAATATGAGACCTCTTCTGATGGTGGTTTCTGATTAATGCTTTTCTTTTTAAAGCTCCTATCACAGATAGTTTGGACCACAAATAAACATAATTAACTTTATGCCAATACTATAAGTTTATGGAACCGAAAAACAAACAAACAAAAGCATTGCACAGATTGAATCCACAGATTGAAGCACAAAGGCTGTGCTTCAGGTGAGCAGGCTGGGTAAGCCTGTCACTCTACTGATAATGGCTATCAAGCCAAAACAGAACTAAAGCAAGGAAAAAAAAAATAAGAACAAAAAAACCCCCTCCATAATCCACTTCTAAGCAACTGACTGTTACCACTACTGTGCCATGTTCTAAAATGTCTGCAGCCATTGGTTTAATTCAGAAAATACTGCATCAAATGGAAAATACCAGCGTAAACAAAGGCATATCCCACTAAAGCAAGACATACAAAAGTGAAAATCTTCAAAGTAACTGTATGGCAAAAGACAGCAAAGAAAAAACACAAAAGGCTGAAAACTGCTATTTCTTGCAAAGGTATTAAAGGAGAGATTTTTCAAAGGCAGCGGGAGAGTTTCTGCAGAACTGCCCCAAGGACAAGTGTTTCTCACTCAAGGTATTTTGTGGTCACAGGGGAAACGGTTCCACTTGGGAACTGTTCCAATAACCAAAGTTATTCAATTTTGTGAGATCCCAAGAAAAGGGATTCAGAATTGACACTTCTCTTTGTCACTGCTTTCTCCTCTTGGAATCATTATTAAAAGGCAACACTTCAGAATCACTGTGGGAATGTCAGTCCTACCTACCAAGGTGGAAACTCTCTTACAGCTCACCTCATTGTCTCCGAGAGGCTCTGTCCAAACGTTTGGGAGAGCTTGTCGCAGAACCAGTTGAACATCAAGCATCTGAGAATCTAAGACAGAAATGAAGTAGTAAAAACTTTAGAGGTGCAAATAATTCTGTTTAGCAAAACACTTTTTTCTAGACAGAGGGACTAACCAGATGGTTCTACTCCAGGGTACAAAAAACAGTCCTGACTGATACGATCTTAATACATTCCTGCACATGTGGTGACAGCAAAAAAAAGTCACATGGAGAATTTCAGTCAAATAAGCTTTTGGGAGGACACAAAGTAAAGGAAAAGACCAACTGAAAATGAGTGGAGAGAGAAAGACATTCCTGAGAGCTCTGGAAGGGAAAAAAAAAAAGGGCTGCATTTACAGAAGAGCAACATGGGTTGCAAGTGGGCTTCTATGCCTACTAGCATGAGGTGCCCCGTGGCTTGGTGGGCCTTTCCTGTTGCTGCACAAGGGTGGTGATATACTTTGGATGAAGTCCCATCTTCTTCTAAATCCCCCTGTACTGAAAACAAGCCCACTACAGACAAATCCAAAGCTTTCCTGTTTCAGAGCAACTATGAATTTTCCAGCTGCTACTCTGAAGCACACAATGGAAACCAGCGACTACAAAGCAAGCTCTTCTGGTCCAAGCACCCAGACATCCATCTCTGCCACGGGAAAACCCAATGCCACAACAACACAGAAAAGCAGAGCTCAGAGAGAAATTCCTGACAAGAACAGAGACATAGATAGAAGGAGGAAACAATAAGCAGCCCCAGATGTTGAGAAGTGACAAAGCCACTCAGAGCCCACAGGAAGGCACCTTGCTTCATACCACTCAGATCCTGCAGAATCATTGAGTCCCCTTCCTTGGCTGCTGCTATCCAACAGGTCACTTCATCAATAGCCTTCTTCACCACATTCATGTTCAGAGCACTAAAGCAGGATCAGGGATGAAGAAGGAATGGGGGAAATTGTTTTGTCTGTTTCCCTAGAGGGAGACTCACACCCCGCTCTGGGAATGCAGAATTTCCCAATTATCCAGCCAAATCCAGATTGTATTGTATGATTTTTTCCACCAAAGTATCAGGAAGCACTTCTTGACTGTGCAAGTGAAGAAGCACTGGAATAGGTTGCCCAGAGAGACTGTGTAAGGCTTTTCAAGCTCTCCTTTCCTCTTCAGAGATCTTTAAAAGCCACCTGGACATGGTCCTGAGCAAGTAGCTCTTGGTGTCCCTGCTTGAGCAGGGGTTGGAGCAGATTACTTCCAGAGGTCCCTGCCAGCCTCAGCAATTCTGTGATCTCAGTACTTCTCAGGACAAACCACAGTATGTGGAAAAGGTTGGCAGCAAGGCATTCAGATCAACAGGTTTTACAAAACATGATTTGAGAAAAGATAGCTGTCAGCAGTGACATTACAGGAGCCATCTCTCTAAGTAACACTCACCTGCAAACTTCCCAGCTACCCTGTAAGAGACGCTGGCTAAGGATCTTCTCCTGTAACTCATTCATGTACGGGATTCCATCTTTCAGGAACTGAGGGGGAAAAAATGCCAGATTGATTATTTGCCCCTGGACTTTCTTGCATCAGATAAGATAACAGCACGGTCAGATTCAAACCTGGCATGTATTAAGGAGATAAGGGTGTGTCTCATTTTAAAAACAGCCTCTTGGAAAACACCAACTGATGGTAATTCAAAATACATATTTACATAAAGGAGGACACATGTTTTTGCTGTGCTTTCACCTTTCCTTTAAGGAAATAAGATAATTCATGTGTCAAGATAAAAATCACACAATGTTACCTGCTTAGAATTGCTAAACAGTGCTCTTACGTAACAACATAGCCTCAGTTTTATTGGAAATCTGGCAATAGAAAAGATGCAGGTAAACTGAGAGCTTCCCACCGTTACGGCTAACAAAGACACCCTCTGGAGTCTCTACTGACTTGTATGCTCACTAGAGATGCTTCTTGTTCTTCAGAGATGGGGAAATGTGCCGTAGGCTGACAAAGACATGCTGACTGACTTTAAGGCACTTCAGAAAACCACTGTTCCTTCTCCCCGTTGATAATAAACCATACTATGTATTCATACATTAGCAAACAGCTTTTTACCCCAAGTGTGTGGACATTGACACTAAGTTCTCCTGTAATTGCACGGATTTCCTCTGTTCTAGATTCCCAGCACAAAGACTACCTACCTTATTATAGTCAAAGCCATAGTGAGACAGGAATTGAATGCTAGATGCAGAAAGGGTGAATTCAGCATCCATAACTCCCAAAGTTGACGGAAAGAGAAAGAAATTGTATGAATGCACCACATACCTACAACGAAAAGGAAAATTCCACTAGAAGATAACGACAAGATATTGCATAACCCTTCCCAAGAGATTTCTGCATAGCAGTACAACCACACTGCCTTCATTTTGAAAGGTAATTGCAAGGCCATGTGGAAAAGACACTTTTTACCTACTTGTTTGAATTTTCTTCTGAGAATATTGCTAGCCCTGCAAGAGAGATAAACGTTAATTGAAATGGTGATGTTGGGCTGATATCTACACATGCTGTGACAATTAATAATGTGATGCAATGACCCTGAGGGAACGCACCTTTCTCATTCACTAACAACTTTAGACCAGTGAGAAATATACGACCCACAAGACTTCAAGTTATTTACAACGTTAGAAAACTGATTCTATTAAACTTCAGAGAATCTCATGCAACCAACCAAAGCAAATCAACGGCCCAGTGCACAGAACACAAACACAACAATCTGCAGGGCTCAGCAGGGGGCTGGAAATCATAGAATGGCCTGGGTCGAAAAGGACCACAATAATCATCTAGTTTCAACCCTCCTGCTATGTGCAACCACCAGACCAGGCTGCCCAGAGCCTGGCCTTGAATGCCTCCAGGGATGGTGCATCCACAACCTCCTTGGGCAACCTGTTGTTCCAGTACCATATAAATTGGTGATAACGTTCCGGGAAGCTATTCTGAATTTTACCGTGTATGCTTGACAGACCACACAACTAGTCCTCATATTCTATCAAGATCAGTACCTATGGCTTGGCTCAGAGGAAGAAAACACCAATCCCCTGAAGGCTGCTTTCTGCCAGCATGGCACTCACCCAGCTGCGTGATCGTGAAGCGCTGCACACTCTGCCTGACCTTCTGGTACCGCTCAGCTGGGGAGTCAAACAAGCTGATAGATAACAAGGAGGGTGTGGAAAGGGATGTGGGTAAGAAGAGCTGCAATGCTCAGGTTCACTTCCACAACACCTGAGCAGCAGCTTTCCCCTGCATGTGAAGCCCAACAGCCTTACCTGGGCTGGTTATTTTGTGGGAAAACTGAATGTAAGCCAGTAAACTCCATGTCCAGGCCTGTTAAAGAGAAGGAATTCCAAAACAACAAATAAAAACACCGAATAATGGAAGCATGCATTTCACCAGCATCTGGGCAAGGACCTCTCCTCAAACCCACGAAGAGCAAGCTCCAAAGGAACTGACTGCTACAAAAGCGTGCCTGCATGAGGGCAGCTGCCACATGGGGAGCTGGCAGCAGAGCACGGTGCTGCTGTGAGCCAGAACTGATATGGCTCACAACATACGAGAGCAGCATCCTCTGCCCTCCTGTCTGCCATGGTGTCTTCATGGACAACAAGCTGCTGAAACGCCTCTCGGTGCATTCCCTCATTTACACGCAGCTTTACAAGACTGAAGTTTCAGAGGCGCAGCGCTCCGACCAGGAGCAGGCCCGAAGGCGGCGTGGCCGGCAGCGGCCACACAGCAGAGCCCACCCGAGCGCGCAGCGCTCACCCAGGAAAGCGGCGCGGCGGACGCGGTCCCGCAGGCTGGGCAGGCAGCGCGCGAAGTCCGCCGCCCCCACGTCCATGGCTGCCGGCGGGCAGCAACCTTCGCGCAGGTGAGGCAGCGCCGCGCCCCGTCCCGCCCCGCCCGCTCTGCCCGCGGGGCTGCCAGGCCGGGGCAGGCGCACGCAGGCCGCATGGCCGCGCAGCTGTGCTCCTCGGCCCGCGCAGAGCTGCAACGGGATGCAAGAGGACTACAAGGCACGGTTGGGGGAACATAAATTTTTCGGTTTTCTTTTTCACGAAGTACTGCACAAAACTAAATTACTGTTCTAAATTTTTTGCTGAGTCAGACGCGCAGGGACCGAAGTGATAAAGATGAATGTTTCATTCCAGTATAAAGAAAAGTGTTGGAAATTTCATAATCAGGAATTCAACGCTTCTATTTATTTATAAATATTTTATTATTAGATGCCATGTTCCAACTCCTTCCATTTCCAGTCCCTCGTTGTGGCTAGACCCACACCTCAGGAAGCGAGTGATGTTCCTTGGAAGTTGTCCCAGTGGTCTCCATTTTATTGGTAGATTCTACGCGGCTCCCGCAGAACAACACCACCCTCCGTCATTGCTTTTTCAAATTCCTGGATCTTGTTGGAAAGATAGAGATGTGAATAGAGAGAAAGCAGTCAGCACCCAAACATCACTGTGGACACAGAGTGTGTAGCCTGTCAAGGTTACCCTTTGGACTGTTGCAAATAGAAACAGTCAAACCAGATAAGGAAACTACTGGTGCAAAAACAGAAATCAATGTTTAGAAAGGGGGAAAAAAAAAAAAGGGCAAATCAAGTTTAAGGTACTTGCCGAATCACAACGACGTTCCCAAGGAATAACAGCTTTAAAGTTCACAAAGTTGATTCCCGCTTCCAAACAGCGCTGTGCCATAACACGGCCAAGGTTTCTGCAGGCTGTAACGCCCTTAGGACTGTACAGGTGCCTCTTTATAGCCCACTCTCGAGTAGAGGCAGATAACACAACGTTGCCATTACTGCGCTCCACAAAGGCTTCTACGTAATGCTGTGTCCGCTCCAGCCGTAACCTGGGGAAGGGAAAAATGCAACATGGAGTATGATGTCTTTCCCAGATCTAAAGAGAGAACACACTGATATACGGTCAGTAACTGAAGTTATTTGCTTTATGAGATAACACAGTGCACTGGAACTATTAATATAATGATTTCTTCTTAATATTGCTTTTATTAATTTGGCAGACTTTATTTCTTACTTTATTTGGACATAAAATAGGACTCCTTTTACCAGTTAAAGAGACTGAAGTTTCAAGAGTGACTTTTCAGCAATCACGTGCCTGGCCCTATAGTGCCTATATATGCACTCACCCCAAAAACAAGCACTGTGCATCTGTACAATGATGTACTGCTGTCTGTGTGAGGGAACTGCTCTGACTGAAAAGCAACTCTAGGGTTGTCATACAGCCTCTTAAAGTCTTTTTCTCTACAGCTGAGAGCAACTGGTCAGGTTTGGCAAGTGGCCAAAGAGTATTGCTAAGACCTTACCAACTACAGTCTGTTAACAGCACAGTATTTCCTATTGCACTATCAGGAAGGAAAAAAAAAATCAGATTTCCAGATTTGAATGAACTGTACATAGTTCTTCTCTCAAGAAGAAAATAATGATATTGATTCCCCAGCTTAAGATGTACTTGTTTTCCACAAGGCAAGTAATCAACGTTTTCTTACAAAATAAAAAAACCAATCAAGTACGTCAAGTAAGACAATATTGCATGGTCAGCACAAGACTGTCAAAATCCTGAGTTAAACTGCAGTTGTTTAATCAATATTACTATCTTAAAGACAGAAAGATCTTGAACATATGCTACCTTTCATGCAATGACAATCTATTACTCTCTGAACATAAAAGGTATCTGCCAATTAAGAATAGCTGAAGGGTTAACTGATTCAATAACCCCAAAAGTACATTTTATGGAAATTCCATATAGTATATATTTCTTAATTCTTATTTATTTTGGATTTTTACCTCCCCTAGTGGTCTTCTGACTCACCTGTGCCAGAATTCACGCTTTGGCCATGTTGTCTTCCAACCACGCTCCTTCCTAGCAAGTGCCAACTGCTCAAGGTTCCGAGGGTTCCTGTTAGTGAACTCTGGGGAAACAACCTCATTCTCCCTCGTGTCTATTTCACTCTCAGATTTCAGGCTAGTTGTAGTTGAAGCATAACAGAAACCTTAAAGGAAAGCAGGAAAAAAAAAAAAAAAAATAGGGAAAACAAAATTAAAAAAAGGTTAGGAATTATATATAACACAAGCAGTAGATCAAATACAAAATAATGTATCAAATCTCAGCCTCTTTCTTCAACTTATGAGATAGAGCATAAGATATAAACTGAAGGTATGTGTATCTTCAACTATGTTTTAAGATGTGTGCATATAACACAAATTGGAGAACAATTACAAGATTTCTATAATCAGGGCTCTAGGAAATACTGACACTGAACTGCACAAGGAACCAAGAACTGCAGTACCAAATTAGTTAAAACTCATCTATCTATCCCACCTACCTGATCACCAATCACGCTATCACACTTGCAAACTCACTCCGCTACGCTCTTTTTTACTTCCGGAACAGCAGCGGAAACCCCTCCACCGGGCTAAGGCTCAAGGCCCTGCTTGCCAGCCCCCAGCCCATCCTACAGCAGCCGTTACCGGCGGCAGCAGGGGCCCACGCAGGACGGAGCAGCCGCACCGAGACAACGGATCTGGCAGCACAGGGGGCGCGACGCCTCCTACCGGACAAAGCTGGTTTGGAGTGTGACAGAGCAGTCGATCTTACCCGCTCGACGCGCCCGGAGCCGGCCAGCCACCAGCAACGTGCAGCCGCGACCGCCCAGCGCCATGGAGAGCCGGCGCCCGCCACGACCTCAGGCGACAGTCACCTCCCAGGCGCTCAGAGACCCCTGGGCGCCGCCATCTTGGGTGAGGCCGGCACCTCCCTCCGGAAGGTGGGGGGGGCACTTCCGCCCAGGTGGTTGTGTCACGTGGGAGCAGTGGGCGGGCTGCTGCGCGCGCAGAGCACGTATTTTACGGATGGGCCGCGTGGAGGCTGCGCGGTAATGGAGGTTGTCCTGGGAGGCGGAGTGACTTTGAGTACTGGCCTTTCTCTATGGCCAGAAAAGAAAGTAGGGCCTGAGACAATACAAATCTTGGTTTTACGACTAGGAGGATAATTAATTCCCTTAAAAAGTGGAGTAACACGTTGTAATACGTGTTAATACGTGTTACGATAAGCAAAAGCGTGGAAATGCCACACCACACAACTGGCGTTAGATTTGGGCTCTTTTCCAGCCACCGTCCATGGAATAGCACCACAATGCCGCTACAGGCATCGCCAGCTCCTACAAGCTCCACCCTGACTAGTGACCGCCCGCCAACTCCCGACAGGCAGTCAGCACGCATGCTCAAAGCAGCCGCGCGCCGCCCCAGTTTCTAGAACCTCCTAGAAGCGCTGCCGCCTCTCATTCGGTTCAGTGGCTTTGTTCAACGCCAAGGACCAATCACGGTTCGAGACCGGGCTGCACCGCGCCCCCGGATTGGGCGGGCGGCCGTGGCCCCGCCCCTTCACCGCCCCGCCTGCCCGCGCCCGTCTCAGGCGGAGTTCCCGGCATTCCATAGCGGGCTGTTGGCCATTCTGTGGCTCGGCTGTGTGTCTGCCTCTCGCGCCACGGCCCGGCGGGAAGATGGCGGCGATGGAGGGGCCCCTGGCTGTGTTCGGCGAGCGGACCAGCGGCGACACCATCCGCACGCAGAACGGTAACGGCCGCGTGCTGCCGGCGGAGCCCGCTAAGCGGGGAGGGAGCGCGGAGGAGGTAACATGGCGTAGCCATGTGCTTCCCCTCCCCGGGCCAGCCGCCGCCTCGGCTCGATCTTGTGGGCGGGCGGCTGCCGGCCACGATGGGTGGGGACCGCTCCCAACTCGTAGGGCCTGCAGGGTGCCGGGTGGGGAGGTGGCTGCTGGGGAAAGCGGCCCCGTCCGAATTACGTTTCTCACAAACGGCACGTGGGGAAGGCTGCGCATCCCAGGAGTATCTGCATTTCTGAGAAGGTGAACGAGAAAAGAAGAAGCTGAGGAGTCGCCTTCTGGTGATTGTGAGGGTTGTACGCTTCCGATGTACGCTTAAGATCCAGATTGCCTTAATTTGGCTGAGGTGTACGGTAATGGCAGCTTTCAAAAAGCTGCTCTAAGGGGCAGTAGTTACACCGTTGGAAACTCGGAGTGACGGCCTGCGTTGCAGTTCTTCCCATTATACTACCACTTTTTCAATCTCCAGAGGAAGTGGCTATGCTTGTGGGATAGAGGAAAAACTTGCCACGGTCTGAAGGAAAAGGTTGATTGTATCTTTTTCCTACATGAAGTTGGCAGAACATCACGTGGACAAGCTGCTACGTTAGATGCTCCATTATCATTTAAGTGCCTGGAGGCCCCTCACTTTGGATTTTCATGACTTTAAATATTTTGTGTTAGTTATAGACATAATTGAGGCAAAAAGATATGCTATCAGTTGTTACACGTCCTATGTTACGTGGTTGTACCATGGGTCTGTATCCGCCTTGGTACATGCTGCTTGTATTTTGTACTGCTTAATACCTGCAAACCAGACTGAAATGTCATCCTGAGTTAGTTTATCTAAAGTTTCTGAAGCACAGGTTTCTCGTGCTTTTTGGTTTTTAAAATCTTTTTTTGTTTTCGTTTATGTAGTTACTGCTGCATCCGCTATTGCCAACATCGTGAAAAGTTCCCTGGGGCCAGTTGGGCTGGATAAGATGTTGGTGGATGATATTGGGGTAAGTAAGCCTTATCTAAGTGGAAAATGCTAGGAAGTTTTTTATCGTTGTAGAAGTGCTTCCACCTAGTGTGCTTCCTAGGGTCTCATGTTCATGTACCTTATTTTGTGTTGTGTGGAGAGAGAGTGGGAGGAGGAGCATTTCAGTGAAACAGTATGTTCAGGTGGTTCATGCTGTGTCACTTGCATCAATAGCTTCTGTATTACAGTTGATCT